GTATTATGCTTTCATCTTGTACCTGTGATGATGTCCCGGGCTCGTGATCCTCACCCGATCGTGAGACCTTGGATTCGCACACTGCTGTTGATGAGACCCAACCAGGTTGAAGTTCAGAAACGGTTTCGGGGTTGGAGGAGGTGGAATGGGGAAGATCACTAACCCGGTCCGTTGTGATAAGAGTGGAATTTTTAATTAACCCAGATTATTACCCACGAGCACATCGAAAGGATAAAATGCACAATGGACGTTCACTGTGCAGGTGAATGTGATCGAATTCCGCGGGGTCAGATACCATGGCATCTGTAATACGTGCATCGGCTTGCAACTGAGATGAAAATTCCTTCTCCTACTCCCGCGCGGAATATTAGCTTAAGGAGTGTCCGTGTGCAGTTAGTGTACTTTGCTCCGGGAGACCGAGTGCATAAATATACACGCAGAGGATGCGATTGCCGAAGCAGAGATATTGGCGTCTTTGAGCTGAAATCACACAGGAACGATCTGGCCGTAAACATCGAACTTGTTCGGCTTTTCGCAGAAAATGTGTCATTCTCAGTTGTTCAGTACCACCACCGGATCACCTCATTCTATCCGGCATGAAAGGATCAGGGTGATCAGTGCTCTTTTTGGCTGGTCGATGTTTTTCTTCCTTGGTCGACGGTATCGCAAAATGTTTTGAATTATAGATGAGAGTAATGGAGGATTTGATTTGCTTATATGATAAATTCGTCGTCTCAACGAAGCGTGAGCTAAAAAGCCGGGAAGCACTGTTGGACACCTGTTTCGACCTGTTTGGGTCTCATCAGCAGCAATGCACGAGTCCATCGACTCAAGACTGGGAATCGCGAACCCGGAACCTCAAGGGTAGAACAAAAATATAGTACACAGTCCCCCACCCCGGGGCAGCTGATCAAACCGCTTCCGATTTTGAATATACACGATATAGCACAACCGATCCACTCCAGCTTGTAGCGAGTATCGGTCTTAGCTGTCCAGTGCTTCCCAGGTTTCCAGCTCATTTACACAACGAATTGATCGTATAAAAGAATTTTACTTCTGCATCAGTAGTGGTAGCTGTTCGTATTTTCACCGGACTATTCGTCAACTACAAACATTTCTGAAATGAAGGGGTTACTGGCTGCTCCAACGTGGTTTTGCAGTGTCCTATTAACGTGATGTTTTTATTGTCAAATGTCTGTAAACCTAATCCCATCGGTGGATGCTTCAGACTTGAATTTTACGTTAGACTGGGCAAAATGTTTTAAAAATGTCCGACGTACCACAGGAGCATACACAACAAGTACGACATTCGCAGAAGTACTAAAAGGTATTGACTTCGTTGAGGATTGTACAGAAAAATCACACTTCCCATAAATTTGAGTAAGTACGATAAGATGTTTCAGTTTGTTCAACCATTAACCAAGCACCTTCATGCGGCGGTTTGGATTGCTGCCTTCNAAGCAGTAGAAGAGAGACAGGAAGGTTGAAAGTAGAGTCAAACAGAAAATGGAGAATTTCAGTGGTTTAAGGTTGCATATAAATACAGAAGATGCAAGAACGACACTGTTTGCGACACCCAGCCATATTCACTGAGTGTCTCTAACCATCGGCTACGATCTTTCCTGGGTCCCCAGCAAGGGAGCCTAACACGACCTAGGTGACCCAGTCCCCTGGTCAGGATTTTCATACCCTCGTACCAGGTTTTAGCTTGACCCCCCTTGGCTTTTTCCACTCACTTCTTACCTCGGTAAACATCACGAGCCGTGGTAACCTATTTCATTACATGTGTAACACATGTCCCGTCCAATGCAGTCTATGAAGGTCGACTATTTATTCCAGTGGGCGACCGCACTCGTCCGGTTTCCCCCCTTGACTCATGCAATACTATGTAGCATACACTCGACTCTTCACAGACAGTCGACTGTCGCGACGGCGCTACAAATGCCTCAATTCGGCAAATATCAATCGAGCCTTTTGTATGCGAGCTGACACTTCATCCGTGATGCGTCCACAGGGTGAAGTGTAGCTGTCCAAGCAACAAAACTTATCCACTTGCTCTAATACTTTTCCAGTTAGACTGAGGTCGGAGACGGGAACAACCCAGTCTGGTAGCAGTTATTCCCTTTGAAGATGCAAAAAGCGTACCAAACAGGGCTAAAGTAGCACTCAAACTATCTAGAAAAGCTTGCAATTTACGTGGGTCTTCATTTAGTAGCACAATGTCGTCTGCATACTCTAGATCAAACAGTCTGCCACTCACACGACGGTGTGACCAGGACGCCAATGAAAGAGGAGTAAACTTGCAACACGCAGCCATATCATTCAGTGTCTCGAACCATCGGTGACTATCATCCCCAGATTCCCAACCAGGGAGCCTAATGGGACCTATGTGACCCAGTCTCCTGGTTAGGGTTTTCATACCCTCATACCAGGTCCTAGCTTTATCACCCTTGGCTTTTTCCAACCGCTACCTGCCTTGAAAAACATCACTCGCCGTGGCAACCTATCTGGTGGCATGCGTACCACATGAGCAAAACACCGTGATCTATGGAGGTTCTAGTGGGTAATCACGATTGCCTAAAACTCTACGCCTAACCCCAGCATTGCTCGTCCGGTTGCCCTCCCCCCAGACTCGTGCAGTGCGACGTGGACAGCAGTGTTCGAGCACTGACAATCTATTTTTATTCTGTTCTCGTAGTGGCCACTGGTCTCTGCACCGTAAAGAAGAACTGGCTGAACTGCTGCAGAATTTACTCGACTCTTCATAGACAGCTGAATGTCCGGACGGTGCTACAGATGTCCCAAGTTGGCAAATGCCAACGAGCCTTTCTATGCGCTCCGACACTTCATCTGTGATGCGTCCGATGAGATGAGATCGTATTCGTAATGTACACCGAAATCTAAACAACAGACTCCTAGCACACACAGACACACACAATAATCCGTCATTTCTGTTTCTTTTTCCTTATTACTTCCTTGTATTGAATATATATAAAGATAGAATTTTCAGTATAGGTGGCACGCGAAGGGGGGAGGGGACCAGCCAGTCAAGGGGCTGTCGTACAACACATAATGGAGAGTCAGACGGTGTTGATGGTGGGATTCGAGCGCATTTCCTCCCGGGGAGGGGAGGGGGGGTGGTGGTGATAATTTCGGTGACTCAACCACCGGACAACCACTGCGCATGAGTTGGGTTGGAATTGAGCCAAACTCACATCAGACGAATCGGTGAAACCCGTCAATAAGTTCGCAAAGAATCTCGAGAGATTGGTGCCTCATTTTTCTTTTACGAAATCAAACCACTGGTTAACTGACCAGTTGTCTTTGGAATCTCTTTTTTCCTACAACTATTACTCATCGAATTCGGTCACTTGATTAGGCAACAGAATGTGAGAGCAATGCAATGCAATGCAGTGCAATCCTTCACCTCACACCGTACACTAATTTGATCTTTTTAAAACGCATTTGCGGACACGATACTTCGAAATGATCACCGAATTCTCTTGACTAATTTATTCTTGAAGGTTTATATTGCCAAATGCTTTCGGATACGCAGTGTACACGACGAGTACGAGGTGCAGATAGATGACCGGGGCAAGGAAAACGTGAACTGTAATCTCGTATATTGTGAATATTCTGTCAGGGATTGCAACTCACACAGTGAACCAACTATCACAGCACAGCCGAGAGCACAATTCACAAGTCATACAGGGGACACCGCTATACTCGAACTGTCTTAAAGATGGAACTCAATCGATGTCACATTGGATGTGGGCGATGATTATCCACGACTGCAAATGTGGTTTAAAGCAGCAACAGCAGCAGGAGTAGCAGCTGCGGCAGCAGTAGCAAAGTGTTGATTGTTTGCCAGTTGCCTTTGTCAATGATGCTCCGTGTGACGTTTTTGTGATCCCAAATATCAAGCATGTCATGCGTGGAATTCGATACGAGTCACCAATAACTGAAGTGGAGGCCCTTATTGAACTGGTTGGAGAGTAGTTACCCACTTCGGAACTGTGTATGAACGATGGAAGTGGAGAATACTTTCAGAAAATGTAATGCTTATTTTTGCGTGCAACAACTAGAATTTTTTGTGTATCCAGATAGGTTTTGTTCAGCCCTAGTGTTGTGTACAGACAGCCTGGTGTACAGCTTCGGTTTCACGAACAATCCCCAGTGATGTGTAAAGTTGACCCATTTATGGTTCAATTATGTATATTTACGGAATAGTATTGATGAAGTAAACTATTTGTTGGTTGGTTTGTATTTTTGGGAAAAAAAAAAACAACCACTCATCTGGTACTGGATCCGAATTAGGTCAAAAGACTTGTCTGCACGTCGTGTGTGCATGTATGCAGATACGTTGAAAGGTGTGTGTTTGTATGTGTGAAAACAAGCGGGAGGGATCGGTTTTCAACACCCGTAAACTATTCACTCCATCCGAAAGATTGACAGACTGAATAATCCATCGTATTCTAGCACATATCGATCATATGCACCCGTCCCTCTGCCAGCGGCCGCTGGGGTCCACTATGGGTAGAACGAAATGATTTTAGCCAAACCCGACAGACGGGAGACAGACGAGGCAATGAGTGTCGAAGGGAGAAAGACATCCGGGCAGATTGTTGCTGTTGTTTGTTTGTTTGTTTTGAGAATTGCTTCTCCCTCGGTCATTGCCTAGTCGGACATCACTTGATGAAACAACCGGTTCAGTGACAGATTGTCGGGACGGACTAAATTACAATCATCCTCCCCCTCCGCCCTCTCC